CCAGTCTTGCCTGGTCCCATCCCGGCGTCTTACCCACACACTTGTCGGCGCTCTCGTAGTACCCGGGGCAGCACTGGTAGCGGCGGCGGTAGTCCGTCTTCACGGCCTGTCTGTACGCCGTCCTGTAAACCACCCTGCAAACACACACACAAATGTTCCGCAGTGTGGCTTTAAACGAGGCTCAGATCCCGACCCGACCTCACGGAGACTCACCTGTGCCGCACACACCTGGAGCGGTCCTGCCCCCTCACACACGCCTCCTCCGACACCTGGTCGAACGGCTGCGAGTACGATTCCTTCACGGACGTGGTGAAGCTGCACAAACACACAGAACAGGTCAGACTAAAACTGTTTAAAGATCACTGAGGTCCTCACCTATTTCTGTTCACTCAGCCGGGGTGAAAGGCTTGTTTGTGTTTGTTAATAATATTCTGTTGTGTCTGGTCCTTTTCCATTTAAGTGCCACTATTATTTAGATCAGAGGTGTTCACACTTTTTCATCATGTGAGCTACTACTACTACCTAATACAAAGCCAAACAAACTGCACTGAAACACTCTGTGCCCCTTTTTTGGACCCTCCCCCACAGTTTGAGAACCTCTTCTTTAAGAGAACTTCCTCTGGCACTTTACACAAAACTGTGAAAAAAGTGAAGGAAGATTTTTAAACCTGTTTTTTAAAGTTCCAAACTGGAGTTTCATTCTTTTGTGGTTTTGCAGTGATATTTACCAGCCTCTGCACGTTTACCAAACCAAACGCACATCGTGACAAACACAGATGCATTTGTCACTTTTGTTAGACAAACTTCAGCCAAATGTGGCAGTAGGTCTGTTCTGTAGATCCGCTCTATGCTGTAGACCTGCTTTGTGCCAACACTGGAACACAAATTTAGACTGGTTTTTGCTTCACGTTTGGTCTTGTTCTTCTAATCAGCCGCACTGTGGGAGGGGCTTGTGTTGGCTGTACGCAGGAAGGTGAGAGCGTGAAAAGGCGAGGGGCGGCGTGCTGACGTGAGGCAGGTGGACAGGTAGGATGTTTAGGAAGTTGAACCTGCCCTGTGATGCACGCTGGTACACGAGGGCACACGCTGTCGCAGACGAGCCGTGCATAGGGAGCGTGTGTGTTTGTGATGCGCCGTAGAGTCTCCGCGGGTTTCAAATGAGCGCACAGGCTGCCTGAGACACAACGCTACACAGTTTATTACCAACAGCAGCGGCCGGAATGAAATATGATCAACACTTGTTGAGTCAACCTCGAGTGAGAGACAAGACTTCCAAACGCGAGTCCGAGACGAGACACGGCGATCTACCCACACGACCTTGGAGATCGACTGGTAGATCGGGATCGACGTATTGAGCACTCCTGATTTAGACCATGTCGGACTGTTTGTTGCGCCCTCTCCGGACGCACAGGGATTTAAGGGGAGAGGGACACGCACTTCCATTCATGCGGGATTTTTACTTCGCCACTGGAGCTACTGGATCGTGTGTCAAAGCCTGAGCGCGGGTAACGTGAGTAACGCCGCAAACTCTTCGAACTCACGTTACATCTGCTGCTCAGCGGGGAAAACTTTTTGGGGGACAACTGAAGTTTGCTCGGGACAATTGCGGTTAAGGGTGTGGGCTTGGGTGAACTGTTCTTTATTGTTTTGTTGCACTGGGGTTTGGGTTTTGGGGATTGGGTGCGCGGTGCCGGGTGGTGGTATCGTGAGTTGATGTGGCCGTATTCGCATGTGTCTGGCAATGCCAATAAAAGCCGGATAGGCCAAAAGCACTTTATTTTTTGCATGTCTTTATCTGACCCCGCTGACGTGAATGGATCATCCCGCGTCCTAGATTTTGCGTTGTAGCTTTTCGTTTGTCGAGAAAAGGTGAATTGTTACAACAGTTTAAAGGTTCTGCATCACACAAAACCGACTCTTCTGAGTTTAAGTCTGTCCTTGTTGCAGTTGTGTTTTGTTTAGGGCTGGGCAAAAATAAAAAATATTAATCACATGAGTTTGAGTGCGATGTTGTACGCAAAACCAATTAATGAATTAAAAAGTAAAGTATATTGCACTTTTATTAGAAATGTAAATGAAAGAGTCAAACATTTGTTGGTATTCTGAAGGTTCAGGAAAAAATACTGAATGAATTTTTGTACTACTAATAAATTTTTTCAGTATTTTTTATTCAGTGAGTAATAAACACGACACTAGTATTTCAAGATCATTTTTTTTTTACTTGGACTGAAACAAAGGGTTAATATAATGGAATGGAAATGGACCAATCACAATTTTTCTTCCTGTGGTATCCGGGTAAATTAGTGACTCCACCTGCAGCGCTGAACTAAACAAACACCTGCAGGAGCTTCAGTGGCTGGAACGAAGACCTGAGCAACTCAAGTCAATGTGGGGATGAGTTTGAGATTGACACTTGTCTGAGCCAATCAGATTTCTTTGAGTTATGGGCGGGATCATATCATGAAATCTTCCGGGCCTTCGCGAATACCCTGTGACAACAAATATAAGTGAGACCGCAGCGACGAAAACCGCACTGGACACCTCGATTTGGACGCCTCAGGGACGTCTGGAAGAAGGAGAAGAAAGAGAAGACCGGTGAATCGGACCCCGCGGCCTGTCCGAAACTCGAAGTCGAGGCTCGGAGCCCGTGGTCAGGCCAGAGCTCGGAGTCTGCGGAGGCTCAGACACGTTGCATCTCACATGATCAGAAAAAAAGTGAAAACCGTGTAAAGAAAAGACTCAAAGAAACACTGGCGGTGGACTTTTTCAAAATAAAAGCCAGTGGTCCTAGTTTTGTTTCATTCACACATGTTTAAATCCTTTTCTCAGACTGAAAACGCTCCACTTCCACCTCGTGCAGGGCCGTCGCTCTGAACACATGGACACTTGAATTTATTTGTTTGTTTGGAGGATCAGCCCCTTGAGAGTCTCACCATCTCCTTTTTCAAATAAACAACGAAAAAACAAAGAAACAAAATCAACACAAACACTCACACTCACACACACTTGACCGTTATTCACAGAATAAATCAACAAAAACTCAGACAAAGTTCAAATATACTCACAAAAATTCAACAAAATGACCAAAAACAATTCCACAGGTTCTGTAAATGTTTCACCAGAGCATTTTTAATCAAAGAGACAAAAGTTAATGCCTGAATTGACGAGGGAAGAGTGTTTTCTAATTTGTTTTTTGACTCTTGGGACGACCAAAAATAACTGATCTGCGTGACGTTACACACAGAGCGTAGGGACCATGGGCTTGTGGTTCACCACCAAAACAATCAGGGTCGTAAATCCTCACAAAATTATCCATCCAAAAATGCAGCGTTAAGATTCGTTCACTCGACGGGAGGTGGGGACTTTTTTTATTGAATAATCGCTGCTGTTTGGTCCTGACGTTTGTAAAGCTCCAAATCCTGTAGGAAGAAGAACAATAACGTCTTTCCCCGAGATCAAATCGGGGTCTGGGGCAGGTCTGTCTTCGTCTACATCATCTCGATGTTTTGTTTACTGTTGTGTTGTTCCACAAAAGAGACACAGACAGACGCCACCAGTTTGACGTCACGGCTTCACAACTCACAGCTGATTGGTCGGTGCACCGTCTACAACTTCTGGGATTCTTGCAAAACCGTCTAGTGCAGACATGTCAAATCTGTATTATAGAGGCCCATTGGCTACAGACAGACTATAGAGACATGATTTATTTAAAATGTTGTTATTATTTTATATTCTGTTTGTTCTGGATTCACCGTTTAAGTAAAACTATTAATAAATATTTATTTGAATAAGAAAAGGTTTAACATTACAGATCTGGAAAGAAGAGAAAACAGGCAGATGTTGTTGAAATTTTTCAATAAATATTTCGTTTGGCCCAGGACTTAGTCCATTTTTAAATTTTGGCCTGTGTGAATTTGAGTTTGACTCTCCTGGTTTAGTGTATTTTGATTCCTGATTTAGTCGCGTGAGAAAAATGAAATTGAGCGGAGGCACTAGGTGGCGCCAGCCTGGCTAAGAAGCTGGTGCCAGCGCCAACAGAATCCCCTGAAATCTCCCTCTGTCTCTCTCCCTCGATGTCTGGACCTCCACATATGCAGCAGAATCTTCACGGAGAAATTTTCACTTTCAAATTCAAATTTTAAGTTCCTTGACTGAGTAAATTTAACAAACAGTTTGTGCTTAGAGGCCCAGATGTCAACGGCCCTGACCCTGTGACGTCATGAGGTAACACAGAAAACACCTCCACACACCTGCACTGGAACCATGTGGATCATTTCACACGTGGAATTTCCAATTTCTGCTGAACTAAAGGCAGAACTACCACTTCATGACATCACAAGGTGGAACAGAGCGTTTGGAGCTTTGGAGATGTAAACAGACTCATAATAAAGAGTCACTCAAACATGTGAATGAAACAAAACACAACTCCAGATCTTTGTAAAACAGAAAAAAGAAAAAAAGGTGCTCTGATTTGCGGTGAATTTATTAACAGTCACGTCACGTCAAAACGCGTTAGTGCCTCTGTCGTCCTTTTTTCTACTTTACACTGGATCAAAAAACTTAAAGTAATCTTCCAATTTTGTTATTTTTACAACTCCACATCTGTTTCTGAAGAGGAAACAACATTAGACCACGACTCAGTTCTGCATCATATACTAAGCTTAATGTTGGCTGTATGAGTCTGTACGAGGCTCCGCCCACAGTCCTACGTCCCCGATGCTCCCACACGACAATTCTCCATAAATACACAAAAACATGACACAAAACTGTTCCCAGCACCATGACAAACCTGAAGTGCTGTGCGTTAGTTTCATGATCAGGACGTGCGCCGCCTGTGGTCACATCAACACCAAACTCTCATTATCATCTGATTTCTGGAGTTTTTCAATCACTTAAACGACACGAAAACTGCAGAGTCAGACGTGAGCGATCGGAGGAGCATGATCAAACACAACCACGATGATTTCACTGTGTTCATCTCATTTTAATCGTCTTTTAACTCCAGAAGTCTGTGAGTATTCAGGTTTTGATTGCTCGTGTAACCGCAGGCGCTGATTGTGTTGGAACATTGCTCTTGGTGCTCTGAAGGGGGAGTGGGGAGCAAAGGGAGGGGAGAGTGTCGGGGTCAGAAGCAAAACTGAAACGTATAAAACATGTTGTACCGCGCTCAGTCAGAACTCTAATGTCAGACTAGTTTCATTTAAAACATTAAAACGACTGATATTTTGGAGGTTTACAGACGGAGAACAGGCTCCTCTGTGTTTAATTCTTATTTATTACATTGTTTGGTTTGAATATTACATTTTCAAAACAATAAAATCAAAATGTAAAAAAGAATAAACGATTTCTGATGTTCATCTCATCTTCTAGAAGCTCCATATTTCATTATTTTGTTAATGTGTTTAAAGAGAGAGAGGAGCTTAGAGCTTTTTCACAACGACTGGTAGTGCTGCTTAAGGTTTTCTGTGTAAATGTGTGTGTGTGTAAATGTGTAAAGTTCAGCTTCTGTCGGACTAAAGGACTCAGGCCCCGTTCACACTAGTGTGTATGTGAGTGGTGTTGTTGGAGTTCATGTTGGTCCAGATGTGACAGAGACTGTGGGACTCCTGAAAACTCTGATACTCTGATGTGTGTCTGTCACCGCCGAGTCTCACCCACAAAACACTAAGACACACAATATGTGTCATTCACATAAACGTGTGTCTGTGTGCACCTCAGTCTGTTCTGTGTTTCTGATGTGTTGTTGGTTCATGTGAAACTTTTCACACATTATACATGTGCAGGTGGTGCACACAGACACACGTTTATGTGAATGGACACATATTGTGTGTCTTAGTGTTTTGTGGGTGAGACTCGGTGGTGACAGACACACATCAGAGTATCAGAGTTTTCAGGAGTCCCACAGTCCCCGTCACATCTGGACCAACATGAACTCCAACAACACCACTCACATACACACTAGTGTGAACGAACACTGTACACACAACAACACCACTCACATACACACTAGTGTGAACCAACACTGTACACACAACAACACCACTCACATACACACTAGTGTGAACCAACACTGTACACACAACAACACCACTCACATACACACTAGTGTGAACCAACACTGTACACACAACAACACCGCTCACATACACACTAGTGTGAACCAACACTGTACACACAACAACACCACTCACATACACACTAGTGTGAACCAACACTGTACACACAACAACACCGCTCACATACACACTAGTGTGAACCAACACTGTACACACAAAACAACACCGCTCACATACACACTAGTGTGAACCAACACTGTACACACAACAACACCACTCACATACACACTAGTGTGAACGAACCCTGCACACACAACAACACCACTCACATACACACTAGTGTGAACGAACACTGCACACACAACAACACCACTCACATACACACTAGTGTGAATGAACCCTGCACACACAACAACACACTCACATACACACTAGTGTGAACCAACACTGTACACACAACAACACCACTCACATACACACTAGTGTGAACCAACACTGTACACACAACAACACCACTCACATACACACTAGTGTGAACCAACACTGTACACACAACAACACCACTCACATACACACTAGTGTGAATGAACCCTGCACACACAACAACACCGCTCACATACACACTAGTGTGAACCAACACTGTACACACAACAACACCGCTCACATACACACTAGTGTGAACCAACACTGTACACACAACAACACCACTCACATACACACTAGTGTGAACCAACACTGTACACACAACAACACCACTCACATACACACTAGTGTGAACCAACACTGTACACACAACAACACCACTCACATACACACTAGTGTGAACCAACACTGTACACACAACAACACCACTCACATACACACTAGTGTGAACCAACACTGTACACACAACAACACCGCTCACATACACACTAGTGTGAACCAACACTGTACACACAACAACACCGCTCACATACACACTAGTGTGAACGAACACACACACAACACCACTCACATACACACTAGTGTGAATGAACCCTGCACACACAACAACACCACTCACATACACACTAGTGTGAACGAACCACTCACATACACACTAGTGTGAACGAACCCTGCACACACAACAACACCACTCACATACACACTAGTGTGAACCAACACTGTACACACAACAACACCACTCACATACACACTAGTGTGAACCAACACTGTACACACAACAACACCACTCACATACACACTAGTGTGAATGAACCCTGCACACACAACAACACCACTCACATACACACTAGTGTGAATGAACCCTGCACACACAACAACACCACTCACATACACACTAGTGTGAATGAACCCTGCACACACAACAACACCACTCACATACACACTAGTGTGAATGAACCCTGCTCCCTCAACCACTGAATGTTTGATTTTCTGACCTCAGACTGAAGAAAATGTGACTGTGACGATTCAACACTAAATAAACGAGTGAATAAAAGGAGCAGGTCTCACGTCTCCCACAGGCTGCACACGTTTGGGTCCCGGGGGTCGAGGGCGGAGCCGAGGGGGGGCAGGGTCCAGAGGAGGAGGGGCCAGAGGAGGAGGGGCGGGGTCAGGGGGCAGAGGGAGGGGCCCGGGGCAGGCATGGCACTGGGGGGGAGGCAGGTCCGACGACGGGAGCTTCACATCCAGAACCGAGCCCCTGACGCTGCAGAAGAGACGAGACTCGGGACGAGACTCGGGACGAGACTCGGGACGAGACTCGGGACGAGACTCGGGACGAGACTCGGGACGAGACTCGGGACGAGACTCGGGACGAGACTCAGATCGGCTCCGTCTGTGGAACAAAAAACAGAAACACGGACCACAGTTAAAACCCAACGTCGCACGCAAATATCTGCTGAGACACGGAAAATAATAATAACCCATTTAAAGTGAAACGAAACACCCAGACTGTGAGCTTTGGGGAAGGAGTTTATTTGTACAACACAAACTGTTCACAAAGTCGTGTCAAGTGTTTTACAGAAAAAGAAAAACAATAAAATCACATTAAAACAAATCAAAACATAAATAATCTTCTTAAAATTAAAAAAGTGAGACGTTCAATGAGAGAGAAGAGTGAAGAATAAAAACCTTTAGTCAGACGCAGCTGAACAAAAAAGTTTAGAGTCTGAACGAGACCAAGACCACGGCCCATCCAGACCAAATCAAGACCGTCTGTGTCATTTTCAACATTTATTTGTATTTTACAGGGTTTTTTTGGCACATTTATATCCATGTTTTTATAAATCTATCTTCATCTGAACTGATCAAAGTTTATTTAAGATTAAAATAAGAAAAACTGAACTGAAAACACTCTGCTGTTTTTTGTTTTGTTTTGTTTTTTTACCTATTTTAGTCCAGGTTTAGTCTTGGTTTAGTTTGAGTTTAGTCCTGGTTTAGACCTGTTTTTTTTTACCTAATTTGGACCTGGTTTAGACCTTGTTTAGACCTGGTTCAGGTTTAGTTTAGACCTGGTTTAAGTCCTGGTTTAAACCTGTTTTGTTTGTTTTTTTACCTGGTTTAGACCTGTTTTAGTCCTGGTGTAGTCCTGGTTTAGTTCTAGTTCAGACCTGGTTTAGATCTTGTTTAGTTTAGATCTGTGTTAGTCCTGGTTTAGTCCTGGTTTAGTCCTGTTTAGTCCTGGTTTAGACCTGGTTTAGTCCTGTTTAGTAGTCCTGGTTTAGTCCTGGTTTAGACCTGTTTTAGTCCTGGTTTAGTCCTGGTTTAGTGCTGGTTTAGTCCTGGTTTAGACCTGGTTTAGACCTGGTTTAGTCCTGGTTTAGACCTGGTTTAGTCCTGGTTTAGTCCTGGATTGAAGGATCACACAGGAAAACGTGAAGGAAAATCAGATTCTATCGTCTAAAGAAGAGTTTTATTTTTATTTTCTTTTTTTTATCAGTATCGAGTATCGAGTATCGAGTCAGTTCCTCAGTATCGATCTGGAGTTTGAAACCCTGTTCTCCATTTCCTCTCTTTTCTCGCTCGTTTCTGTGGAAGCGTCCGACCTGAACGAGCACGAGGCAGATTTATAAAACCTCCCGACTGGGCCCCACGGCGAAGCACCGCGAACTTTCCACACAGAGAATCTGAACCCAGAAACACAGAGAGAAAAAACAAGAGAAAAAAGGAGAGAGAAGGAGCGGAAAGTGTGAGCGACAGACGAGCGCTGAGCTGAGCACAACCAGGACCACTCCAGAACTCAACCAAAACACTCCAGGACCCGAGGCCGGAGCCAGGACCTGGACGGGGCCAGGACCTGGACGGGGCCAGGACCCGGACGGGGCCGCGGGCCGAGTGACGGTGACGTGATCCGGATCTGGAGCCGAGGATTTAATAACGAACAAAAGAGTGAAATAAAAACCCCAGGGTCAAACAGAGAGAGTTAAGACCAAAGTGACCTGGTTTAGTCCTGTTTTAGTCCTGGTTTAGTCCTGGTTTAGTCCTGTTTTAGTCCTGTTTTAGTCCTGGTTTAGTCCTGTTTTAGACCTGGTTTAGTCCTGGTTTAGTCCTGTTTTAGTCCTGTTTTAGTCCTGGTTTAGTCCTGGTTTAGTCCTGGTTTAGTCCTGGTTTAGTCTGGTTTAGTCCTGTTTAGTCCTGGTTTCCTGGTTTAGTCCTGGTTTAGTCTTTAGTCCTGGTTTAGTCCTGGTTAGTCCTGTTTAGTCCTGGTTTAGTCCTGGTTTAGTCCTGGTTTAGTCCTGGTTTAGTTTTAGTCCTGGTTTAGACCTGGTTTAGTCCTGGTTTAGTCCTGTTTAGTCCTGTCCTGTTTTAGTCCTGTTTTAGTCCTGGGTTAGTCCTGGTTTAGACCTGGTTTAGTCCTAGTTTAGTCCTGGTTTAGTCCTGGGTTAGTACTGGTTTAGTCCTGGTTTAGTCCTAGTTTAGTCCTGGTTTAGTCCTGGGTTAGTCCTGTGTTAGACCTGGTTTAGTCCTAGTTTAGTCCTGGTTTAGTCCTGGTTTAGTCCTGGTTTAGTCCTGGTTTAGTCCTGGTTTAGTTAGTCCTGGTTTAGTTTTGTTTTAGTCCTGGTTTAGACCTGGTTTAGTCCTGGTTTAGACCTGGTTTACCTGGTTTAGTCCTAGTTTAGTCCTGGTTTAGTCCTGGGTTAGTCCTGGTTTAGTCCTGGTTTAGTCCTAGTTTAGTCCTGGTTTAGTCCTGGTTAGTCCTGGTTTAGACCTGGTTTAGTCCTAGTTTAGTCCTGGTTTAGTCCTGGGTTAGTCCTGGTTTAGACCTGGTTTAGTCCTAGTTTAGTCCTGGTTTAGTCCTGGTTTAGACCTGGTTTAGTCCTGGTTTTAGTCCTGTTTAGTCCTGGTTTAGTCCTGGTTTAGTCCTGGTTTAGTCCTGGTTTTAGTCCTGGTTTAGTCCTGGTTTAGACCTGGTTTAGTCCTGGTTTAGTCCTGGTTTATTCCTGGTTTACCTGGTTTAGTCCTGGTTTAGAGTCCTGGTTTAGTCCTGGTTTAGTCCTGGTTTAGACCTGGTTTAGTCCTGGTTTAGTCCTGGTTTATCCTGGTTTAGTCCTGGTTTAGTCCTGGTTTAGTCCTGGTTTAGTCCTGGTTTAGTCCTGGTTTAGTCCTGGTTTAGTAGTCCTGGTTTAGACCTCCTGTCCTGTTTAGACCTGTTTTAGTCCTGGTTTAGACCTGGTTTAGTCCTGGTTTAGACCTGGTTTAGTCCTGGTTTAGTCCTGGTTTAGACCTGGTTTAGTCCTGGTTTAGTCCTGGTTTAGTAGTCCTGGTTTTAGTCCTGTTTAGTCCTGTTTAGTCCTGGTTTAGTCCTGGTTTAGTCCTGGTTTAGTCCTGGTTTACCTGGTTTAGTCCTGGTTTAGTCCTGGTTTAGTATTTGTGTGATGAATAAACTCTGTCTGTGAACCACACGAGCTTCTGTTTCACTTCCTTCAGTTGGAGTCAGATTTTCTTCAGTGTTGGAGGTAAAACTCAGATAAACTAAAGAGTCGGTGATGTTTAACGGAAAAACATTCAACATGAGCCTCCCCAAAAAAACAAAAAAAAAACAAAAAAAACAAAAAGCAGCAATAAGGCAAATAACAAGAAAAAAATATATATTTAACTATGACCAAATGATTAACTATAAATAATTATGAACAATGAACAAACTAATCATTTTGAAATCTGTGACTGAACTTGTAGAAAATGAATTTTCCAGCACAGAGAAAGAGTTTATGTTTAAACAATGAAAACGTGAAGTTAAAAGACGACGTCAAAAACACGTCTACAGAAAATGATCAAATATGTTGGTTTTGTGATTCAAATGATCTTAAACAAAGAGCTGAACAAAGCCCAGGTCTAAACCAGGACTAAACCAGGTCTAAACCAGGTCTAAACCAGGACTAAACCAGGACTAAACCAAACCAGGTCTAAACCAGGTCTAAACCAGGACTAAACCAGGTCTAAACCAGGTCTAAACCAGGAGGTCTAAACCAGGACTAAACCAGGTCTAAACCAGGTCTAAACCAGGTCTAAACCAGGTCTAAACCAGGTCTAAACCAGGACTAAACCAGGACTAAACCAGGTCTAAACCAGGTCTAAACCAGGACTAAACCAGGTCTAAACCAGGTCTAAACCAGGTCTAAACCAGGTCTAAACCAGGACTAAACCAGGACTAAACCAGGTCTAAACCAGGACTAAACCAGGACTAAACCAGGTAAACCAGGTAAACTAAACCAGGTCTAAACCAGGTCTAAACCAGGTAAAAGGACCAGGTCTAAACCAGGAAACTAAACCAGGACTAAACCAGGACTAAAACAGGTCTAAACCAGGTCTAAACCAGGACTAAACAGGACTAAACCAGGTCTAAACCAGGTCTAAACCAGGTCTAAACCAGGTGGTCTAAACCAGGTCTAACTAAACCAGGACTAACCACCAGGTCTAAACCAGGTCTAAACCAGGAAACTAAACCAGGACTCTAAACCAGGTCTAAACCAGGTCTAAACCAGGTCTACAGGTAAAACCAGGTCTAAACCAGGTCTAAACCAGGTCTAAACCAGGACTAAACCAGGTCTAAACCAGGACTAAACCAGGTCTAAACCAGGACTAAACCAGGTCTAAACCAGGTCTAAACCAGTCTAAACCAGGTCTAAACCAGGTCTAAACCAGGTCTAAACCAGGTCTAAACCAGGACTAAACCAGGTCTAAACCAGGTCTAAACCAGGACTAAACCAGGTCTAAACCAGGTCTAAACCAGGTCTAAACCAGGTCTAAGGTCTAAACCAGGTCTAAACCAGGTCTAAACCAGGTCTAAACCAGGACTATATAAGGTCTAAACCAGGTAAACAGGACAGGTCAAACCAGGTCTAAACCAGGTCTAAACCAGGTCTAAACCAGGACTAAAACAGGTCTAAACCAGGACTAAACCAGGACTAAACCAGGTCTAAAACAGGGTCTAAACTAGGTCTAAACCAGGTCTAAACCAGGTCTAAACCAGGACTAAACCAGGTCTAAACCAGGACTCTAAACCAGGACTAAACCAGGTCTAAACCAGTCTAAACCAGGACTAAACCAGGTCTAAACCAGGTCTAAACCAGGTAAACTAAACCAGGTCTAAACCAGGTCTAAACCAGGTCTAAAACAGGTCTAAACCAGGTCTAAAACAGGTCTAAACCAGGACTAAACCAGGTTCTAAAACAGGATCTAAACCAGGACTAACCAGGTCTAAACCAGGTCTAAAACCAGGTCTAAAACAGGTCTAAACCAGGTCTAAAACAGGTCTAAACCTACCAAAACAGGTCTAAACCAGGACTAAACCAGGTCTAAA